AGGGGGATTAAAAACATGTTAAATTTATCCACCCTCAAGGTTACTGGTGCTCTGGGGGTGGGCAACAGTGGGAGGGCTTCTAGTTTCCTGACCCCACTGGTGGACCTCCTGATGGCCCCTGGTGTTTTTGGCCACTGTGTGACAGAGTGTTGGACTGGATGGGCCTTTGGCCTGATCCAACATTGGCGTCTCTTATGTTCTTATTTTTAGTGCGGTTTGTTTCATGTCTGTTTCACCTAATGTCGTAAGCCTCCTTGAGCTTCGTTATGGAAGAACGGTGGTGTTTTAAACAAACTGGGGGGGTGGGATGGCCGCAGATAGGGCTAGCAGCTGTAGGTAGGTGGGGGCTCCCAATGAAAGGTGGCCATCTCTGGGTTGGGAAATAGGTTATTTTGGGGGCAGAGCCTGAGAAGGGTGGGGTTTGGGGGGGCACAATGCCACAGAGTCCACCTTCCAAAGCAGCCTTTTTTTTCAGGGTAACTGATCCGTTATAATCCCAGGAAATACACAGCTACCACCAGGACCCCTCTGTGGCCCAATGTCGCCAACCTCTGCCCTATCCCCGGGTGAAAAGGGGTGGCCTGGAAGGGGAAAATGGCCCTCTAAAGGGCCCACCCACCCCATAAAGGGGGAAGGAGGAAGAAGAGGATGTGCTCCTGCTGGGGAAAGCAATAATGCTTCAGGGGCCTCATCCTGGATTTTTACACAGGGCCCTAGAATGATGTCGGTACCAATGGTCCCTCTAAGCTCTGGAGTCTTGTGAGCAAATATTTGACTTTGTGAGCTGCTGGCATTAAAGTTGTGAGCGAGTGATTTGGCTACAGCATAAATCAATGTGCTCTGGAGCAATGTTCCCACTAAGCTGTGGAGTCTTGTGAGCAAAACTTCTACTTTGTGAGCTCCTGGCATTAAGGTTGTGAGCGAGCGATTTGGCTGCTGCATAAATTAGTTTGCTCTGGAGCCATCCTTCCTGAGCTAAGACAAAACTGTGTGAGCCGGTGGCTAAAAAACTGTGAGCTAGCTCACACTAACTCAGCTTAGAGGGAACACTGCTCTGGAGCCATCCTCCCTGAGCTCAGACAAAAATGTGTGAGCCAGAGGCTAGAAAAACTGTGAGTCAGCTCACACTAACTCAGCTTAGAGGGAACACTGGTCGGTACCAATGTTCCCTCTAAGCTGAGTTAGTGTGAGTTAGCTCACAGTTTTTTAGCCTCCGGCTCACACATTTTTGTCTTTGCTCAGGAAGTTTGTTCCAGAGCAAACTAATTTATGCAGTAGCCAAAATGCTCACTCATAACTTTAATGCCAGTAGCTCACAAAGTAGAATTTTTGCTTACAAGACTCCACAGCTTAGAGGGAGCATTGGTCGGTACCTCTATGGATGCATTTGCACATGGTAGTAAGTAGTTTGATGATGCTTCCTGACTGGTAATTGACAAACATTGCACATGGCATCTGGGGCCCCGGAGCTGGGTCCATTCACACATGCAGGATACTTCTGGGTGTCATAGTCCTCATGTGAGGCACATTGATGCGCAAACCCGCCCCTATGCTAAAACCACTATCAGAGCCTCAGCTCTGCATGCTCCCTTCTTCAGAAGCAAGATGGGTCTCTGCAAGAGACAGAGTCTTCTCTCCGTTGGCACCTCATCTCTTGAACTAACTCTCTTTATCCATTTGCTCAGCGCCTAACTATTTCCGTCTTAAGATGCCAGATAAAGGCATTGTGATTTTGTTTCTTAGGCTTTGGCAAATAGTGTTTCAGTTGAGCTTATTCGTTTTTTGCATTAAATCGTTTCCCCCCCCCTCGTTTTTAGCTGCATCTGGACTTCTTTCTGCCATTCCTTTGTAACTGCTGCCGTCATTAGTATGTTTTTTAACTGCTGCTTATTGTTGTAACAATTTGTTTACAATTACTGGATATTTTTTTACAATTACTCTTCTCCTGATTTTATTACTACATTGTTTTTGTTTTTCCCTGAACTGTTATAAGAACCTCATTTATACAACAGCCTATAAATCTCCTTAATGAACAACTTGACCATAGAAAAGGACAACTGCCGTCCTATCTCACCATCACAAAAGCACAAACACCCTTAAATACCAGTTTGGTGTAGTGGTTAAGTGCACGGACTCTAATCTGGGAGAACCGGGTTTGATTCCCCACTCCTCCACTTGCACCTGGCTGGATGGCCTTGGGCAAGCCATAACTCTGGCACAGCTGTTCTTGAAAAAGAGCAGTTTCTGTCAAGAGCTCTCTCAGCCCCACCTACCGCACAGGGTGTCTGTTGTGGAGAGGGGAAGGTCTGAGACACCTTTGGGTAGTGAAGGGCGGGGGGTATAAATCCAATCTCTTCTTCTTCTTCTTCTAAAATGCCCATTTGACCTTATTTGTTTCCCACCCTTCCACTGAGCTTCTCTCGATGTAGGGTTGCCAGCCTCCAGGTGGGACCTGGAGCTCTCCTGGAATTACAGTTGATCTCCACCTGGTGGTATTTTTGGCCACTGTGTGACTAGATGGGCCATTAGCCTGACCCAACATTGGCCTCTCTTATGTTCTTATGTTCCAAACAACAGAGACCTGTTCCCCCTGGTGAAAATGGCTGCTTTGGAGGGTTCGGGTTCTATGGCATTATATCTGGCTGAGGCCCCTCCCCTCTCCAAACCCTCCCCTCCCCAGACCTCACTCCATCCCGAAATCTCCAAGAGTTTCCCAACCTGGAGCTGGCCATCCTAGAGATAATGTAGATTGAAACCAGAAAATAACCTTGCAGACAATGCTCCCTCTTAGCCGTGGAGTCCTGGGAGCAAAAATTCCACTTTGTGAGCTACTGGCATTAAAGTTGTGAGTAAGCGATCTGGCAACTGTATAAATTAGTTTGCTCCGGAGCCATCCTTCCTGAGCTGAGCAAAAATGTGTGAGCTGGAGGCTAAAAAGCTGTGAGCTAGCTCACACCAACTCAGCTTAGAGGGAACACTGCTTGCGAGGTAGGTGAGGGTTAGAGAAAATGGAGTGGTCTACAATTACCCAGTAAACTTTGTACGTGAGCATGAATTGGAACCCAAGGCTGCCCAGTCCCTGCTCAGCGCTCTGCTTCCCTGCACCAGCTCTTGTGAAGTCCGTTCATAATTTTTAATTGGCCTTAACCAAATCAGGCATTTTCCTTTGTAGATGCAAAGGAATGGTGCTTTTGGCCTGTGGCACTGGGACACGGTTCATTGAGCTGTTTATAGCAACAGATGCTCAAGAGCCACATACGGCATGATATGTATGGAAATCAGCGCTCAAAGAAAAGGAGCAGATGCAAGCGCACTGCCCCATAGCCCTGACTACACACAACCGCTGGCTAGTGAGCATGACATCTACATACATAGGAGGTTTCTGCGCATATGCTCCCCGAGATGGGGAACATTTGAAAAAAGCAGCGTTCCTGCTTCCATGGAGGGAGCTTATGTGCATGCACTGCCTCCAAGTGTTGACACCATGCTCGCAAGCCATTGACGGCACATAGGCAGAGGGCAGGACCAGCACTTCCATCCCTCTATGCGCATGGATGTCAATGCATGAGAAAAGTAGGGTTGCTTCAGCACCTGTCATTTGGGTTCACACCCTGTTTGCCAGTTGCAATGAGGCAGCCGGTTTTTCAGCAAGCTGTTTGGCAGGAGTCGCCTCTGCCTGTTCCTTCTTAACAGTAACAGTACAGTGCAATCAGCTTGTCTCACATCCACATTCTCACATCTGCATTCTCACACGCAACGACGGTGTTGTATTTCCCTTTTCCATCTTGCACAGCCGCTCCTCTTGGCAGGCAGTGGCTTAAACAGACAGATCATATAAATCACTCGTAAATCCTCCCATTCGCTTTTCATCTAAGTAATCCTTAGCAACATAAATGGCTGCTGATCTGGGTGGATTGGCAGCATGTTCACACATGCGCAGTTTTGCAGAGCCCAGTATTAACCCTTCCGGCAGTCATTCCAGTCCTCTGCGGATGAACGACACAGATCCAGGGATCAGCTCGCATCCGATGGCCCACAGTCCAAAACAATAAGTTCAACTGAGTCTCTTTATTCATTTGGGCCTTAGTCAAGCAAGGATGTCGCAGCGTTTCTGGACTAATGCTTTAGGGACTGATGCTAGGGAAGGAATATCCTCTTCTGTACTTTGGGCTGTCCTTAGGTAGTTTTATGTGTCGTTGTGTGACTTTTGCTTCCTTT